ATCCATCCATGTATGCATCTATCCATCCATCCATGCATCCATACATCCAATGACCGTGAGGCAAGCATCTTCCTCTGCCACCTGCTTACAACACTGAGATGTTCTGTTGCACCCTAGGGCCCAAGTGGCAGGATGAGACAGACAGACTGAGACCTCTGGAGCCAAGATAAACCTTTCTTCCCTGAAGCTGATTTCCTCTGGAACTTTTTCACAGCCATAGAAAGCTATCAGATATAACCGTAATGCCACTATCAAAGCAAGTTCAATCGTGTTATATGGTGCTACCAGCAATACTGCAAAGCTTACTCAGATCACCTTTTTTTCCAGAAAAAGAAATCTAATGTGATCCCACACCAAGTTCAGTCATTACGCCCGGTACATCTCCTCTCATTTGTGACAGCTCCCATGTTACTTGTCCTTTATAACGTCCCACTTGTGACACATGCTGGACAGCTGTCATTTCTGCAGTGGCTTCCTCAGGACCAGATTGAAATGTCCATGTTGGACAAGATACCCACTGAGATGATGCAGTGCGGAGCGCATCAGGACTTGGTGTCTCCTTCCCATTGGTGGTAATGTTCCTTCTCAGCATGCTGTCTGCCAACTTCCTCCCTGTTGGTGCTGCTTTCCCCCCACTTTCTACTTAGCATCTTTGAAGCAACACCAGTATCCCTTTCCTCTCCTACTTCTGCCTTACTCATCTCTTCCTCTGAATCCACACAGATTCTTGACTTCCTGCTCCCCCCAAGGCTGATCTCTGACTATTGTTTTGAGCCTCACATTATCTCTCCTCAGGCCAGTGAGGGCCCCTCTACACCTTATGTCTCTTTAGCTCCTCCTCCCTCCCATTTGTTAGAGTAAGCTCCTACTAGTGCACTAACTTTTCCTGGGAGACACAAACATCTGTCCACCCCCAATAGGGCACTGACAACAGAGCGAATAAACAACCTCCTGCAAGCTTAGCTTGGTGAACCAGTAGATTTAATTGGGATTATTCATAGGAGTGTGGGAACACAGGTGAGGGATTTCCTTCTTCTGGCATTCCTAATCACTTGTGTATCCTGAGGTGACTGGTGTATACCCCTTGAACTGCTTGCCTCGGAGCAGCTCAGAGCCCACTGCCTGGTAAGGCCACCCGTCTCTCCATGACAGAACATGAATGGGGCTGATCTATTGAGGATCTCCTCACGTCATCACAGCTGAAGTGACTTCAAGGCAGTGATGGCCACAGACATCGTTCCACAATACTGAGCTAAGAAGATGCTTCTGGCTCAAAAAGAGCCATCTCTGATTCCTCTGTGAAAAGGGTTTTGGTTGTTGGCCATGTCCTTGTGCCTTGTGGGCCCTGTCTATGAGAAGAGATAAGAAATGCTCATGTATACATGTGGACTATACACATGCATGTGTCCTTTTCCATGTGGAGGTGGTGAGTTCACACCCTTGCCTCCATTTCCAGTTAGCCGTCTGCACCTGCACATCTCTTCCCTGATGCTGAGGCCTTGATCAGTCTCCTTCCAACATCTCCCTTCTCTCACCCAGTATAGACTCTGATGCCCCATCCTCCACCATCACTTGCTTGTGTGAAGCAGCTGCTAGCTAACTACAAACTCCTGGTTTTGAAACAGTAGTTTGCCCATTTCCAAACCATGAGGCTGTTTTTGCCCATGGGGCCCTGTTGGTGACATGGCCAGAGATAAGCTGGGTTGTAGCTCCCACAGGGCACTGCTACCATTTCTACCGTCAGCTGAAAGGGACCTGTCACCTGTCAGATCTGTGCACCTCCTTGCTTTTTCATCCAGGGAAACTGAGGCCCAGCAATGGACAAGGGTTTCCAAGACCACCTCCCTGCTTGCAGCTTGTCTGGTCACCTCAGGAGTCCCACTCAGCTTCAGCCCTGCTCAGGTGACCTTTGGAAGATAGGCTGCCCATGTCCTTCAGTTCTTCAGCCCACAAAGGCACAGTGCTAGGCTTGTGGGCCCTGTCTGCTTATAGATGCCTCTCTGTGTTCTATTGTGTTAGACAACACTTGAGACTTGGCGTATTCCATGTGCAGTTTCAAATTCGGGGTCCTTCTTGAAGACTCAGAACATCTGGCCACCCTAAGCCCACACCTCCACCTGGTGCCCCATGGTTGCCCCTGACCCACACTTCTATAAACATGTGAGCTGGGAATGAAGCTCTGTGGGTTGCTTGTGCAACACATCTCAACACAGAGAGATGACAAGCCCGGGGAAAGATCCAAAGTTAAGGGCCCTTAGAAGTGCATGCTGCTCTCACACCATCGCAGGTTGAAAGACTGTATCGGCCCCAAGTGAGTCAAAACCACCTACACTCCACTGGGGTTTTTCCTCCCCCATTCTGCTGCTTCCCAGTGAGTCCTCTGACAGCCCCACAACAACAGCACCACACCCAGGAGGCCTTGGCCATGGCCTGACACTGGGAACTCCTCATGGGACCTCTCTCACTCCCAAGCCACTGCTACCCAAAATAAAACACAGCATCCCAGATCCTACTTGTGTCCTGTTCTGGGTCTTTACCATCTTCACGCAGTGTGACAGTCTTCTCTGTGCAGACATGACCTCCTACAGAAGCCCCACTGGGACCTAAGGGCCTTTCTTTAGCTGACCCACCTGAACACTATGATAATAGTTCTTAACCTTTTTAATGCTGTGACCCTTTAATACAATTCCTCATGTTGTAGTGACCCCATCATGAAACTACTTCACTGCTACTTCATAATTGTAATTTTTCTATTGTTACAAATTGTTATGTAAATATCTGATATGCAGGGTATCTGATATGTGACCACCCCACCCCAGATTGAGAACCTTCCATGAATTTTCCTGCCCAGTTTTCTTTGTCTCTGTATGTTTATAGGCCAGGCTGATTAAAAGGGTTTAGCCTGTCATAGGGACCTAATAGATTGAGTGAGGGCTAATTAGAGGACCAGCAAACTCTAAGCACTTGCAGAATGCCAGGCATGGTTCTAAGAGCTTTATATGCATCCAGTCATTGGCCTTCCTGCATTTGCAAAGTAGGCAAGGTCCAGAGAAGCTAAGTGTCATGCCCAAGATAATATTCAGTGCTGGGGTGATGGTTGAGCACAGGTTTGAACCTCTCTTTGACCTCTTCATCTTAAAGGTGTGCCACTAGAAGTGAGGTGGTTGAGTTGTGTAGACCTCCCAGCTGCTTGGTCACACCTCGGCCCTGACAGCTGAGCACCGAGCAGACAGCGGGGAAAGTGGCAGCCTTTAGCCTGACATCCCACAGTTTTTCTCCCTTGAGGCCTTAGCAGCTAGGTGGCTCATGTGTAATTAGCAGAGTTGGGCACCAGCCTTGACTCAGACAAAGCTTTAACAGGTGTGTTTGGTTTCCCAATCACCAAAGAGGAAAGGGGCTGTTCTGTACCAGCCTCTCAATGAGGTGGAACTCTACCATCTAGCCTGAGGGCGTATGGACAAGAGCCCTGTTAACAATGCTCTGTTAAGAGACTGGCTGCCTGCTGCTTGTGGTGAGGGAAAGGAAGGAAGCCTTGAGGCGTGGAGAGGGACTTGGTCCTGCCTCAAGTCCATGTGTCAGGTTTAGTTGATTCCCCGCGGGAGGCCTTACCCTCTCTCTGAGGAGAGGGTGGGGGAGGGGGAGCAGGAGGAGAGGAGGCAGGGGACACTGATTGGTATGGAAAATGAATTAAGAAAGAAAGAAAGCCAATTGCATGGAAGCCCCCCTCTCAGAAGAGTTTTCTTATATTCCTCAGTCACCTCACAGGATTTAGCAGGAGTAGCCAACCCTACTTTTGTAGACGAGGAAACTGAGACCCTGAGAAGTAAAGTCACACAACAAGAAAGGGTGTTTACCAAGGTTTAAAACCAGAGCAATGTGATTCCAGAGTCCTAACCCTTAATTGACCAAGGGCAAGAAAGATGGTGAGAATTAAGTCTGTGCCCATTTGATTTCAAGATTCCACATTTCCCCATCACATCCCAGGACTTACCTGGCTCTGGTGATGTGTATAGGAAAGAAAAGCTAGGGAGGACAGCCAGAGGTGGAGCCATCCTTACCTCCTGCTGACCCTACCTCATCCTATAGGCCAGAGATGGCAGGGAAGACGGGAACCATGGACCAGGACAGGGAGGTGGTGGCAGGAAAAGGGGGAAGGAATGATGAGGTGGTAGAGAACAGAAAGCAGTGTCCCTAGACCCAGATGTTTGGTTCAGTATATAGTCACTGGGCCTGTGCTCACCACCTGCCAGACCATGCTAGGGGACAAGACCTAACAAAGCCCTTTGTCCTCAGGAATAAGTTACATTCAGACGGAGGCAAGACCCACCAAGAAATGTGGACAAGTACAAATGCATGAGCGTGTAAAATCGTGGGTAATGAGCTTGGGTCATGTCATGGAGACATGATGTGTAATGGGATACTCCGAGGGATGCGGAGGTGTGCTGGCTGATTTATGTCAGCGTGACACAAGCGAGAGTCATCAGAGGAGAGAACTTCAGTTGTGAAAATGCCTCCATAAGACCGGGCTACAAGAAGCCTCTAGAACATTTTCTTAATTAGCGGTTTTGGGGGAGGTCCCAGCCCATTGTGGGTGGTGCCATCCCTGGGCTGGGTTCTATAAGGAAGTAGGCTGAACAAGCCACGAGGAGCAAGCCAGTAAGCAGCACCCCCTCCATGGCCTCTGCAGCAGCTCCTGCCTCCAGGTTCCTGCCCAACTTAAGTTCCTGTCCTGACTTCCTTTGATGGTGAACAGGAATATAGAAGTGTAAGCTGAATAAACCCTTTCTTCCCTGACTTGCTTTTTGGTCTCATGGTATTTTGTCACAGCAGTAGAACCCTAACTAAGACAGTAGGACTCTCACAAGCCTCTCGGAGGTTGTTGGAAGGGACTCTTGGTAAGAGCTGTGGTTGCTGACCCAGGTGGCATGTCACCAGCACCCCCAGCCTCTGCCTGTAGGCCTGTACTCTACACGTTTAATTCGTTTGTTTCTTCTCCACAGGTTTGACATCTACAGGAAGGTACCCAAGGACCTCACGCAGCCAACATACACTGGTGCCATTAGTGAGTAACTGCCCTTCCCACCACTATCCCGGCCCTCTACCTTCTCCTCAGATAGCCATACTGCTCTGTGCAAAACTCTGGAGCAAGGAGGAAAGAAAAAAGGAAAGTCAGGTGGGAGAGAAGATGTGTCCAGTATCTCACAGGCCCTTCACCTCTTTCTACACAGCATCTCTGTCCTTGTTGTATAACCTGGCAAGGTAGAACCATCAGTTGTGTCTAGAAGGATGCAGGAAAATATCACTAAGCTGTAGTGGGATATTCACTTTGTCTCCTTCTGTGGCACTGACCACGCCCATCGGGGGGTGGAGCCATGGGCGGAAGTGACCTGTGGAAGGAGGTCGGAGGGGGCCAGGAAAGGCTCTCTCTTTCTGGCGTGACTCGGACAGGAGAGGATCGGGTTGAATTTCCTGGTGTTCATCTGTCTAGGTTGTTTCTCCCTGAATAAACATCTATTCGGCCTGTTTGTTTATCCTGATCCTTATTTACCGCAATACTAAGCTATGTCTCCTAGATTCAAAACTGTATGCCTAAATCCAGAACTTTGAGCCCTGACATGTACTGTGAATAGAAAGCCCAACTCTAGCCCTGTATGATAGGTGGCCCTGATGTGGTACTACCTCTTGGCTGTATGGATAAGTACACTTGAAACATGAATCACCTGTTCAGACTTGGACCCCATTCTCAAAATACCAATTATCCTAAAATCTAAGTACAAGGCCAGTGAGACAGCTCAGCAGGTAAGAGCATGTGCTGTGTGAGTCTGGTGGCCTGAATTACAACCCCAGAACCCGTGGTAGAAGGAGAGGGAGACACACACCATCATCAACATCATCACCACCACCATCATCATCAAACAATAGTAGTAAATTTAATAAAAATTTAAAAAGAACTAAAGGAAGAAAAATCCAAGCAAGCAGACCAGAGATGGGAGGGAAGTTTGCTTTTTATCTTCCTGCCTTTGAAATTATTTGAATTGTTAATAATTTTAGTCACTAAAAGGATTCACAAATTCACTAAGTTGGTTCAATCAAAGGAACCAGGGCGTCTCAGACAAGTGGTCATTTGCAATACTAGGTGGGGAAGGTATAATCTGAGCTTCGCAGTGTATCATCAGGACAAGAGACCCAAGGACCAAAGCTGGAGCAAAAGACAAATGGTGACTGTTGGTTTGGAACCCGAAGAATTAGAGGACAGGCCTTTGAGCCTATTGCAAAGGAATTGGGGAGGGGATATACCAACTTGCTAAAGAATTCTGGTAACCTTTGTGAATACTCCTCCCACTTCTCCTCAAGTGTGGGTTGGATGTAGCAACTCCCTGCCAAAGAAAAGAGAATAGAAATAAAACAGTAACTTTCCCGTAGGGGACCCTGGAGATGACAGCTCAGCCTCTGAGGGAGGCTGGCATCTGAATGCCTGAGTGACGTGCAGAGGCATCTTGCCACTGAGGGATCTTCCCCATTAAGCTACAACCTGTGGAATGTGACAAAGCATCGCTGTCCCAGACTGGAGGTCTTTTGCCAGATACCAAAGCAATACACTACCAGAGGGTCAGGGACTTGAAAAGCCCGGGGAAAAGGGAAGGGCTACCACAGATTATAGAAGGCTCAGAAGGAGTAAATGCATGGTAGGGTCCAGGATCTGTTCCTAGAACAGAAACAGCCTTCCTGGGAAAGCCAGTGAATCCTGAGTAAAGGCTATAGCATGGATAGGAGCATGCAACATGCAACAGCACAAATCCCTCCATGCTGACAGTGGCAAATACTATGGTTTTGTCAGGTGTGAACAGGGGCATCCAGGAGAAACTGTGTGGGTATGGTCCTGGCTTTGCATCCATTACTGTTCCACAACAGAAAACATCCCCCCAAAATAGTACTCAGAACAAACCAAAGTCACCATTGAGTAAGTGGGAACACTGGCTTCATGTCTCCAGTGCTCAGAAAAGGGAAGTGACTCATCCAAAATGTCACTGTTTATAGAAGGGACAGTCAAGATTAGGTCTTTAGTGGCCCCCACAAGCCCCAGCCTTGTGGTGTGAACAGAGGCCAGGTGACCAGCCTCGAGTCCATTCTCAGGTAGATTGGTGACCTTGGAGATCCCCACCAACTCCAGCTAGCTCTTGTAACCCTCCCTCAGCTAGGTTTCTTAAAGCAGCGTGTACCTTCTCCATTTGTGGAGAAAAGAACACTGCCTGGGAACTCACAGGCCTTCCTGTCAGGAAGAGCTAGCTGGCTTCAACCTCCTATGTAGCATCCATGTGCATCTGTGGGCAAGTGTGTGGGGCAAATGAGCCCTCACTCAGTTCGGGAGTGACTCCTGGTAGCCCACAGCTAACACATGAATATGTGACGCAAGAAGCCAAGTAGCTCGGTGCTTGCTCCGACTATGAGAAATGAGGCTCCTGCCCCCTCCCTGTCACCACATAGCAGCTCAGCCTCCCTGCAGAGTTCTCCAGTCTTGCCTTATCCAACCTGTTGAGTGGTTGGTTATGTGCCCTGCACCACTGTCCTGCACACTAGGGCCAGCTGTGCCAATCCCCACCCCGTGTCTCTGTTGCTGAGCACTAGATACACCTTTCCCATCTCCATCAGCTGCTCTGCCTTCTTCTATCCAGCCATCTCCTGTGTCACTACCTGGCTGGCCTGTGGCACTGAGGGTAGCCAGCCTGGTTATAGCCTGTTGTCATACAGATATTCTTGCCAAGTCTTCGAATCTTCTGTGGCCATTCCTACAATGTAGCTCTCCAGGCTGAAGGAGCACTGAGTCAAGGGGATGTTCATTTTCAACTGTTCTGAAAGTTCTGCCTGGCAGCCCTCAGGAACATGGTCTGATGAGCATTTCACCACACGAGGGGAAGGTCTGAGACACGGGAAGCCAGCCCTTAGCTACCATTTAGTGCACAAATATTTATTAAGCTGGACCTAGGGCCAGGCCCTGTGCCAAGTGCTGGGACAGTGCTGATGAATGGGCTTCGGTCCTCCTCCTTGAGGCTCATACTGCCGAGCCAGGCAGGCCATCTCAGGCATGCGCCATTGCATTACACTGTAGGACGACTGCTATTAATAGCTGAAGGAGGCAGCAAAATTCTGGGGCTTGAACGTCAGCCTTTGGATTTTGCCTCCTCCCTTACCCCGCTATGTGACCTTGGACGGACTTCTTGACTTTCTCGCAGACTGTAAGGTCTCAGGTCTTGCCCCCTTCAACTTGGCAGCACCCTGCTTCCTACTAGCAAGCATCTCCTGGGGTTACATTCCAACTGCCCAGGGCCTGAGTCAGTTTTAGAAGTCTGGAGTCAGAGAGCCTCCAAGCCTTGCCCAAACATGGATTGAAACAGCCTTTGAGGTCTGAAGGACTGGTTGGGATATTTGCTACCTGCTTTCATGGTTTCTCACTGTGCCATCTCTGAGCTCACACTGTGTTAGGCACTGAGGCTACAGTCGTACCCATGCCTCACCTCTGGTTCCCCAGCCTGAGGCAGGATTTAGGCGCACTTACACAGTAAAGTACATGTGGGACAGGGTCCCCGGTATCAGGTGTGTTGTCCTGTCTACCTGCTGGGTTTGGGCCAAGCCTTGAGTAAGCACACAGGTCTCAGAGAAAGGCTGCTTCAATGTCTTCTTCCCCAGCCCCACCCCTACGTGAGTAGTTGGGACCTTGGGTTGTATCTGCAGGATGGAGCAGGGAGGGCAGCTGAAAGACCACCATTCATCCTAAAGTCCACAGTGACCTTCAGAAAACCTCCTTGTTTCATATAGTGCAGCATCCGCTTGGGCTGGTGTGGACAAAATGATGCCAAAATGTGGGTCCTGGATGGCACAAGGGTCCAGCTGCAGGATGTTGTGCCTGCTGGCCGGTTCTTCCCCAAGAAGCAGTAACCACCATTGTAGGGCAGAGAGACCAGGAGCCAGGACACGGGCCAGTAGCTGAGCCACTCTGGGGGTTTATTCCACAGCTGGAAAGGATATTTGAGCTTAATCTCCATGCCATGAACCAGACAAAACAAGGCCACTGTGTGAGCTGGGACCTGTTTACAGATTGCTGAGTGTGTGAAGCATGCCTGAAAGAGGGTGTCTGTCATACTGTTATTGGTTTAAGTGAACAGGGACTCAAAGTAAGTATATCTGTATTATGTATGTCTGCATATATGTATGTGGGTAGATACCTTTTGTTTTGTTTATGAGAGACTCTCCTGGCTAGCCAGGAACTTGCTATGTGGTCCCTTGAAATTTGGGCAGTCCTTCTCAACTGAGTTCTTCTGCTCCTAGGTGCTAGGCTTATAGATGTGGGCCACCAGGCCTGCCAACATATACACATTTGTGTGTGTGTGTGCGATATAATATGTATAACATTAATGTGAAGTTTATATATATTAATATTTTCATGTGCTTGTGTGTCCAGTTGGAACTTTTTCTTATTTATAATATGCACATGTTCTCTGTTTTACTCCAAAGTAAAGCCTTTAAATGCCATGTCTTCTTCAATGCTTCTTCAAAGTGGGGCAGATGTTATGAGTATTTCAGTCCCCATCTCTGTGTTCCTGCTCTCCCTTGCAGCCTACCATAGAGGATAAGGGGACCCAATCCCTTCTCGTTCAGCCTGCATTTTTACACCAGAGCCCCCATCAGGCTGGTGCCATGGTGTCATGATGGGGTGGTTTGTTAATGCATCATTATGGGCATGTAGTAAGTGCTCAGTAAATGCTGGTCCTTCCTGAATACAGATAGAAAGTTAGGTGACAGACAGATGGACATGGACGGAGATGCTTCTCTACTATTACATACAGGCTTGTGTCACAGCAATCCTGCTGCAATTTCAAAATTATATAAATAGAAATGGCCAATTCCAATCTATGGCACACCTCAGCTCAGCCTGGCAGCTTCTTTGGCATGTTAGCTGTCCCTCTGGTGACTGCAGGTTGACAGGTGCCATGACCCACTGTCACTGGCCAGCATCAGGGCAGGGCTGTGCATATTACTGATCTGGGAAGCAAGCCCAAACTGCCACATGGCTTCTGTTGATTCTGCTCTTACATTGAACAATGCCCAGGTGGGCAGGCACTGGCTGTAGACAGAGGGACAGACCTGATGTGGGAGAGAACTCTGGTCTCAGACCCAGTGTGGGACAGAAGCCATGCATTTCACAGAAGCCAGGAATCTAGATGGTCACATGGCATCTCCCCCATGTTCACTGTGGACTCGGGATTGTAAGACAGAGCGCCTTGTGCACCAGCACACGGGCCTCTTCCAGGCCAACTCCACATCAAAGAAATCTTTAGAAGTTGAGCAGGGTCTGTTGCCTGTGTGAAAAAGCCCACCCTGATCACACAGTCAGGCCAATGGTGACTTTCTGGGGGACTCACACTGGGGCCATGAGTAAAAAGAGGGACACACTGAGGCCACAAGTGAAAAGGGAACTCACTGAGGTCAAAGTAAAAAGGGGCTTGATGGTCTCTGGGAAGGTACCCTCACTCTGTGTGGACACTGGGGCTCTAAGCAGCTTTCCACCCCTGTAGTGGGAGGGGCAAGGAGGACTGGCCTCCTACCTGGGTCGTCCTGCACCCTTAACACTGACTCCGTGTTTCCCACAGTCTCCATCTGCTGCTGCCTCTTCATCCTCTTCCTCTTCCTGTCAGAACTCACCGGATTCATCACCACAGAAGTGTAAGTCATTTTTCCCTGGGACAACTGGCTTTCTGGGGTCCAGATGAGGAGAGGGTGGAGTTTGGGAAAGGGATGGAAGCCTTGCAACTGACTTGCTTCTATTTCCAAGTGTGTGACATCATAAAAGGGCTTTGAACTTGGGGTGAAATTGATCCCCACTTTGTCAGGGCCCTGCGTCTCCCTTTTCACCGGGGTTCCTAGGTCCACAGACTGAGCAGTCTCTCTCTCTCTCTCTCTCTCTCTCTCACACACACACACACACACACACACACACTCACTCACTTACTCATCACTGGACCTGAGTTTGGCCAGTGGGTCATCTGTCAGTCCTTTGATGTTGTAGTCCGAAGTGCTCAGGGGTCCAGGGAACTTCCTAACAGGGTGAGGTGCCCTTCTCTTTTCTCAGGCCCACACTCAGGAGGAGACAGCATGGGTTTCCTGGCAGCTGGCACCAGCCAACCATCCCTGATTCCAGAGATAGCTGTCCCTCACAGCCTGGTAACCCTCCTGGCTTGGGCCCTGGCCTCAGGCTTCAAAACCCCTTTGTCACTGTGCTTACAATTTGTGGAATTGTCATAGGCCTGGGCCACACCCTATTCTCCTGCCTAGCCTTGGAACTTTCTGTTTCTACTCATGGAATTTCTTGATCTCCTTTCTTCTCAGCCATATGACAATAGGAAACTAAAAACGGGCATCATGGCTTCAGCTGGCTATTACTATCTTTGTCCCCAAATATTCCCCATTTTATGAGAGAAACTGAGGTTATGATAGGTAGAGGTACTTGCCCACAGTGGCAAAGGGAGATGGCTCCTGAGGCCTGAGAAGCTGGCCCCACTTTCTCTTAGTTCACATCTGGAGGTAGTGTAGGAACATCTCCCTGTCACTTTGACCCTGTTTTTAACCCAGGGAGCTTCTTGTACCTATGGAGAGAGCCCCAGATGAGGCATTAGGAGACACAGACACTGGGAAAGTTACTGAACCTCTCTGAGTCGAATGTGTGAGAGTAAATCAAACTCAAACTTCCCTTCTAGCTCTGGAAAGGCTTTGCTTTCCATGACAGGGTCCATATAGAGATCAGAGCAGTGGTTGTTTCCCACAGCCCCTGACAGGTGACTGTGACCATGAGAAGCATCTTCATTGTGTGTATTTGTGTTACTGTGTGTCCCAGGGATTATTCTTGTCACAAGCTAGAGGTGGGGGCATGGAGAAAAGAAGCCCTGAAACACACTGACAGTGTGATGGGTAAGCATCTGCTAGCCTCTGCAGGCTGTGCTGTCCTCTGGGATAGAGGCCACTCTCCAGGTGGTGTGTGTTCTAAGTAGGTGACTGATGTGCACCTGTGACAGCTGCTAGGTGCAGGTAGGTGGCTTCGGTGTTGAGGAGAGGAGCAGCAGCAAGTGTTAAGGCCCTGAGGCAGGAATGGCTCGGGGTCTGTGAAGAATGGAGAGGCTGGCATGGCTGTAGCAAAGGGAGCAAGCAGGGATGGAGAGGCCAGGGTGTAGGTTGAGCCACAGCCCTATAATTGCTTAGTTAACATTGTTTCCGCTTTGACTGTGGGCTCCTAAGGCTACTGTGCATACATACATGCTTGCTGGATGTGGACACAAGCAGGCCAAGTAGACTGTAGTTATTCCCCCAGTTATCTCTTGAGAGTTTGTTTCTGGGACCCTCACCAACATCTCAGTCTGTACTGTGTCATTTACATGCAATCTGCATATCATTTGCATAAAACGCTACCCATAATCTTCTTGTGTATATATTTTCCTTTTCTTCTTTAAAGATTTGTTTTTATTTTATGTATGAGTGTTTGTATGTAAGTCTGTGTACTATGTGCATGCATGGTTCCCTCCAAGGTTAGAAGAGAGCATCAGACCTCTTGGAACGGGTTGCAGAGGATTGTGGGCCACTATGGGATGCTGGGAACTGAACCTGGGGTACTCTGCTAGACCAGGCAGTGCTCTTAATGGCTGAGCCATCTCTCCAACCCCTTGCTTTTGTTTTTTTATTTGATTTGTTTTGATTTGTTGTTTCTGAGATGGGGGTCTTACTATACAGCCCAGGCTGCCCTCCTGAGTTTTGAGACCCCACTTGTACGTCACCATGCATAGTCCTCCCACCTCCTTTAAACTGTCTTCATGTTACTTGAATATATAATGCAATATAAATGCTAGAAACCATTGCTACACCATAGTGCTCTGAGGAACAGTGGTGCGGGGATGGAGCTAGTTAGTGAGGGGCGTTGTGGGGGTAGGACAGATAGTTGGATGGACCTGATGTTTCCCGAGGACTGAACAAGATGGCCTGGCTAAAGGGTGCTTAACACAAGGCCTGTGGACTTAGCCATCAGTCAGATTCTTTCCCTTGGTGTTTGTGTACCTGTAACACTTGAGGAAGCTTTAGTCAGCTCAGCCCAGTGAGGGCGTGCCTGTGGCACGGAGGTATGGCCACATACAAGTGATTTTTGATGTCAGAGCTTGGGCCTGCGAAAGCAGTGTAGCAGGCTGGGCTGCTCAAGCAAGCCCTGACAGTGGACTTTGCCTACTGTTTACCTAGGGCAGGGCTAGTGGCAGAGCACAGTGTGTTCCCTGTGCCCTCCCCTCCCCTGCTGAGGGACTTCCTCTTCCTGCCTCCTGGATGCTGTGGTCCCAGGAGGAAGGAAGAGGGCTGAGAAGGCTTGAACCTGGCCCATTGACTGCTCCATGCTACCTCCCTCCCTGTCCTTCCTCACTGTGGTACCAACTTATCAGGGGTCCAGGCAGGCCTACGACTTCACACAGCAGCCTAGAAACGGTTGCATTGCCCACACTGGGCTCCTTTCTTTAATAGAAGCATCGGATAGGGGAAACTGAAGGAGAATTCCTCCTGACCCAGGAAGCATAGGATGGGGAAAAACTGAAGGAGAATTCATTCTCTTTTGGGGTAGCCTGTCCGGTGGCTTTGTGACCGACCACAGTGGGTCAGCGGATTCCTCTTGCCATGAGAATGTATATAACTCAAGGAAATGAGGTCACTGCTGGCTGGGTCAACACTGCATCCCTACCCTGTGGTCATCAGTGGTGGGAGATGCTCATTCTGCCCTGCTGAGTGAGAGGGAGGAGGTTTTATGGGTGCTTGGCTTCCAACCTGGGCTGTGGCCAGGCTGTTGACCAGAATGAGAAAAAAAAAAAAAAAAGTGTCCCCTGGGATATTTGGAGATCCAGTGTATCCAGGGACATACCCACCTCTCAGAAAGTGGCTGTGTAATATTCTAGCCCTTGACTGCCAAGTTCATAAAGACTTTAATAGCTACTTACCTGGTAGGGTTTATGATTATTATTAAAAAAAATGTAGCTGCCCAGTTGTTTTTAACATAATATACCTTATGGTGCTTTCTAGGTATTATAAGTGGCTACACACTAGGCTCATATGCCCAGGTCAGTATCTTACAATGATTGCCTCAAAATTTGTCACTATCCCTTGAAGTTTCTGGGGAAAACTGAGGCACCAAATGGCTAAAAACCCATAAGGTTAGTAAAAGGGAAAGAGCATAGTCTAAGCCCTGTGGACATCTACAGCCTGAGCACCCCATCCCATCATCCTACCCATCTCTGCCGGACATGTTTTAGAGCCTTGAGTGCATGAAAGCCATGACTTTTTTGGTTAGAGTTACTGATGTTTAGAGCCAAATCCCTCAGTGGGCAAAAGCATGGGCTCATGCAGAACTCACAACCCAAGTTGAATCTACTCAACAGATTTGTCCCCTGACCCCCATGTATGTACCCACACAAACACATCATACACACACACACACACAATAGTGATAACAAATTAAAATTAAATTTAAAACTTATTGAATGGAAGACTCAAGGCTCTCCTATAGAGTTAAGGTATCAAGCTGGAAGAGGCTGCTCAGGAAGTAGGAGCTTGGAGGTTACCTTGAGCTGGGTTGGGCTGGAGAGATGGCTCAGCTGTTAAAGGCTAGGCTCACAACCAAAATATAAGAGCTGGATCCTAAATGTCCTTATACTGGGCCAAAATTGGGGGGACTAGGAGCTTAGCCCCAGGAAGAGTGGAGGGTTCCCTCCTACCCAGCACCCCTGTACTGAGTCTGGATTGTGGCCAGGACTGGTGGAACTAAGATGTCACATTATAGAGTACCCAGGCCTTGTCCTTAGCAGTGGGAGGCTTGAAGGCTCCTGGGCCCAGCGTGACAGATTCATTGTTCAGAAAGGTCACCCCAGAAAAGTGGGTTTGGGGAAGAGAGAACATGAGTGGCAGGCCCTGGTAAGGAGTAGGCAGCTGGCTGTGGACGCCATCCGTTAGGCAATCATTTTCCTTTCACTACAGAAGTCAGGGTTTAAAAGCTAAGGGTCTAGGGCTCACTGGTCAACCTCCCCTCCCGCTCTCACCCTACCTTTTACAGAGGCCTCCCCACTGCATGGAAATTTCCATTTGATCAGATTGTTAGGCATGGAGGCCAGCAACCTTGGGCAAGAATCCGAACTATTCAAGAGCTCTTCTAAAAGCAAATAAAATTGTTTTCCATAGATGTCATCAGACTCACGCCTCAGCCTAGAATCTCAAGGCCTTCGCCTGCATTCCACCTACATCCCCCCCACCAATGCCTCCTAACCCTTTCATCCTCTCCCCTACAAGGCCAAGACTCACCCACCTCCTCCCCATGCATTCAGGCCATGCAGTGCTGTGCTGGTTAGTGTCCCCCACCTGGAATGTGCCCCCACTCCTCCACCAGCACACACCCTTCTTCTTCCCGGGACTCCTGAGAACCTACACCCACACTCTCCTGTGCACCCCCTCCAAGTTTGTGTTCATTCCACAGAACTTTATCAAGAGTCCTCATTTGGGGTGGGGAGGCTCATTCACTACTGCTTACTTCAGTGTGAGAGGAGGAGGTAATGGAGGTTTGTAGAGCAGAAAGCCTTTGGACCTAAGGACCTCCATGTCCCATAGGCCCTGGGGCCCTAGGGCGGCCCATCTGAAGATTATCAGAAAAGACAGTGGCACCTGCATCACCAGTCTCCCCGGGGGATGTCCTGATTTCCAGGGACTCCTCTCCTCTCCAGACAGTGTAACACAGTGGGAAATGCAGGACACTGCCTTGTAGCATCCTTCTCTGCCTCCTGCAGCCTGTGTTCCTTACTGAAGACACGGTAATCCTGTCCAGCACTGGCTTGCTGTGTTACAGAGATGCCACATGCAAAAGCCCACTGTTGTCCCCGGCATGACCTGGGGTTCAGAGCTAGGGCATCTCCCAGCTTTCTTATTTGTGGGGCAGAATACACTAGGCAGGGCTGTGCTACAACTCTTCCATGCGTAATGCGTTTGACCTTCACCACAACACTTTGCAATTGAGATAATTAGTGCCCTTGTTATTTCAGCTCATTAAATGTTCATTGGTATTAACGATAAAGATAATGGCTAGAGGCTGCGCATCCAATCTGTAGTAGGACTATGCTCAACGCTCCTCTTGGTCTCATTGGCCACCTTAGCAGTCTCATTATTGATATATCAGCATCATTGGGGGTCTCTGGGACCCTAGAGAGTGTGATGTTCTCATGTCACCTGTGAACCTCCTCCGTCTACTTTAGATCCACTCCCCCACCCCCACCCAAGCTCCAGATGACTTACATTACCCCACAGTGCATGCTGTGCACATAGTTGTGACACTGTGTTATTTAAGGAACAATGAAAGAAGTCCTGTGTGTCCCATACAGAGTCAGTTTCTGTTTCTGAGATTTTTTTTTTTTTTTTAATCTTCAACTGGTTGACTCCAAGGATAGAACACCTATAAAAATAGAGGATCAACTGTTACGGAAGACCCAGTTTATTTCTAGGGAAACTGAGGCTATTGAAGATAAAGCCCCATTGTCCAAGGTTAGTCAGCCTGGAGGTACTGCAGCCAGGAAGTCATCCTTGGCAGCTTGGGCACTCCTTGGTATTGTTTTCTCTGCCAAGTAGAGCCTGTGGTCAGCCCTGGAGAGAAAATGAGACATGTGCTGTTTCTATCTGTCTGTCTGTCTATCTATTATCTGTATCTATCATCCATCTATCTCCTGGCCTAGGCAGCCTGACCTCCAGTAGCCCTGAGAGCTATTGAGAACCTTGCCTCCTTCCTCCTTCTCTTCCCTTCTCCCACCTCCTTCCCTCATTGGTTTCTTTTTATTAAAGCATATATGACTTCCACCAGATGCACAAGTCTGAAAGTCGAGGTCAGTGAACTCACTCTCCTAGCCATCATCTTAGTTGAGCCATGATAGCTTTCTGCCATCTAGAAGGCTCCTGTGCACACCCTCCTACCACCATTCTTGAGATTTTTATTGTCATAGATTAGTCTCTATTTTAAATTCCACCTGGGACTCCTTAGCTATTCTGATGAGGGCTTGAGAGGTGAAGCACCTGTCCCAGGTACCTCAGCTTCTAAGTGACAGAGGCAGGAGGATAGCTCATAGGCCTTCTCATGTGCTGAGCTGGTTATGGGGTGTCGGGCCAGTAAGAGTCCCTAAACTACAGTGTGCCCACCGAATGTTTCTTTTCTTAGAGGTGAGCTTATTCGTGGCAGCCTGTCAGCCTTTTAAAACCAGCTCAGCCCCAGCCAGTGGAGCCAGTCAGCCTTGGCAGCCCTGCACGGGTGGCTGTGGGTGAGGCTGCACCTGGGGAGGCAGGAAGCTCGCCGGCCTGGAACATTTGCCTTGGACACAGAAGGCAGCCTTGCTGACCTCATCGGTAGGCGGTGTGGTGACTGAGCCATATACATCTTACAGCCAGGGGCAGCAGCCAGCTCTGGCCTTACATAACCACCAGCCCAGATTGCCACAGGCCATGCATTTGTCCTCCCTTCAGGCACTTCAGCCCCTTTGTGCTGTGAGGCTCTTCAGCCCTGGCAGCTGCCCGCTCCAGTTCTTCTGGCTAGGAGACAGGGATCCCTGCCTGGGAGAAGACTCCCTGGGGCAATGAGCTCACCTGAGCCACACCTGGGATTTGCCTGGCTCTGCTGAGGTCATCTCCCAGGATTGCCAGGGAATGACCTCACCCCATAATCCCTGAGCAGTGCGCAAAGGTCCAGGTCTTACCAGGTGGGAAAGGTAAGCGCTCATGGAGGAGTTCTCCAGGCAAGGGAAGTTCTCACCTTCGGCCGTTGTTCAGTTAATCACACAGCAATGTCCTTACTAGACTGATAGTTCTTTGGAATCAAGGCCATGGTAGAAACAGGTGCTGATGAGTCGGGAAGAAAAATTTAGCAGAAAAGGACCCTGCTCTGACTGAATCTCACATGGCCTGTTCGCTCCTTGCCCACTGGTTATGCACAATATTTTCCAGCACTGCCTGGATAAGCCTCCAAGACTCTCCCCACATTCTTGCTCTGTCCTTGACCCTAGATACTGAGGAGAAGAGGAAGCTGGGTACCTTGGAAAACTTGGAGCTTGGGCGCGAGGCTGAGATTCCAGCCCAGTCATTCTGCTGTGTGCTCTTAGGATGGAAGACACCTCCTCTGAACCCTGGTTCCCTGGTTTTAAAATGGGAATGAGGACTTTCCACAGGAGCAGATAGGATGGCATGAATTTCTATAATTGACTTCCTTGATTAGGGGGTACCCCTCTCCCCTTTTGCCCAGCAAAATGAGATGGGTGTTCAGTGTCTGGCTGTGTCCCTGAGCCACAGTTCTTGCTCATTAAGCATTGGCTGTATCACATTCAATGAGATCTTAGTAAAAACAAAAAATCACTTGCTGGGCCTGATTGATCTGTTCTTTCTCAGCAAGATGGCTGCTCACTCACAGGACTCCTTGGGAGTCTGCTTCTAGTACAATCTGACCCAACAGATCTAACTATATGGATTATTTCAAGTGTTTGTTTTATGTATTTTTTAAAAAATAATTTTTATCATTTTAAAGTGTGTGTGTGTGTGTGTGTGTGTGTGTGCACATGTGTGAATATGGGGATTTGCATGTGAGGGCAGGTGCTTATAGAGGTCAGAAGAGGTCACTAGTTCGCCTTGAGCATTGTGAGCTGCCTAACACGGTTGCTAGGAACAAACCTTGGGTCCCTAGAATGCTGTTAACCACTGAGCCACCTCTTCAGTTCCTATTTTATTTTTAATTGACAAAGCGGGTTATAAGGTGACATTTTGATAAATTGCTAAATTATCAGTTCATCTAGTTAGTACATCCATCACCTTAAACATTTATGCCTTTTGTGAGAGAACACTTACAAATATTTTCTTGCCAGGAGGTTGTGGTGCACACCTTTAATCCCAGTACTACAGGGGCAGAGGCAGGCAGGCAGGTCTCTGAGTTCAGGGCCAGCCTGGTCTACAGAGCTTCCAGAGCAGCCAGGGCTACACAGAGAAACCCTGCCTCGAAAGAAGAAAAAAACTAACAAAAAGCCACAACGTGTTATTGCTGTAGTCACCATGCCTGTGCTATACAACAGCAGTTCTCCAGTCATCTGTAACTTCCTATTTATTGACCAGCATCCCTGGTCCCTATCCATGAGGGCTTCGCATAGCTTAGCCCACCTTCTCCCACACTTCTCAGTCTAACAGCCTTTGAGGCCAGGCCTAGAGTTGGGGTTTCCCTTCCCCATGGGGAGTTATCTGGGCAGCTAGTCTGTCCCCTCCTCAATGCTTCTGCTACATGCTCATGGGCCCCTGGCTTAGTGAGGAAGGAAGGAACTGGAAGCATCCGTTTGCATGCCTCCCCTGGCCCATCTCCATGTGTGTCCATCAGCACATCCTTGCCTGCTCCCAGCATCCATGGTTTCTGGACCATTGTGGTCACCTACTACATTGTGGGTACGTGGTGGCTCCTCTAGGCCTTGAGCCTGCACAAGCCTGACCACATGGCTATGCTCAGTGTCAAGTCGGCTGCTCGAGCTGTCACAGCACCACACCTGGACCTTCACACTGCATCTGCCATGACCCTCTTTCAGTCCCTCTGTCAGCCCAGTCCCTCTCTGCTTGGGGCCTTGGCACATGCTGTAGGGGACTCTCCCCCTGCTGAGACCATGCCTTGTCATCATCTCTGAGGCCTACAGGTCTCCTTGTGGCACTTATCTATGAGGTGAGCCAGGGCTGATTCTGCCTGTGAGCCTGATGAATGCGGAGACTATGTGTCTTGACATTTCTGGAACCTGACAGGCAGGAGATGCCCCCCCAAACTGTTGAATCTGTTGAATAAATGTGTGTTGTTGCTGTCCCTGGCAGCAAGGTGGTGTGGCTGTCTGGGGCCACCTACCCTATAACTCTGGCAATGGAATAATGATCTCATCATTCACCCCTGCAGTCTATGGTTGTGTCACTCTACATGCCACAGAGAACATGCCAGATGTGGTCACATGAAGGCTCTTGAGATGGGAACAACTAGGTTAGCCAGCCAGGCCAGCCTGCATGAGGGTGGGAGCGGTGGAGAGGAGAGGATGTGCTATGCAAGTATGAGGTAAGCTTTGCTTAAGCCTTTAGCTTTGTGACACTTGATAACAGCAGCCCTCGGAATCCAGTACAGCAGTCTGGTCCTGTGGGAGACCTGGACTTCATCCCTGGAACTTTATAAGGAGGGCTCCCAAAGAGTAGGCAGTAGGCACTGTGTACCTATTGGTGCCAGGCCCTAGGCCATAGTGACACTCTGTTTCTCACTTTATGGTTCAGCCACCCCATCAGAAATAGGCAGTGTTGTTCCTCAATAGATGTGTTATTGGGGGGATGGTAGAAAGTGCTAGAGCCAGAACCTGAACTTGAATCTGGCCAAATGTTCTTACTGGACCCCTCCTTCTTCCTAAGTAACTGCTGTCTTTTCTGGTAAAGCTGTGTTGGAGGGTGGTTTGAGCCTGGAGCCCTGCCTCCTGGGACCTTGACATGTGCATACTGTTGTACCCACATGGGTATCTGGGTCATTGAGCACTAGCCACCAAGTGAGGTGGCTCCTGGCTGTCCATCCCCTGTGGGCAGGATCAGTGTTTCCATCTCAGTACGGGTTCTGTACTTGTCTGTCCCTCAGGGTGAATGAGCTCTACGTCGATGACCCAGACAAGGACAGCGGAGGCAAAATTGACGTCAGTCTCAACATCAGTTTACCCAATTTGCACTGTGAATGTGAGTATTCCAAATAGCCTTCTGTTTCAGCCAGCTGCCCTGTGGGTGATCTGTGTGCAGACGTGGTGAGCCATCTGGGATGAGCTAAATGCATGCCACCAGCTGAAAATCACATGTGGCCTATGACAGCCCCCACCTATTTTTTAAAGGAATATAATTAAGCACGTACCTGGAGGTTTTCTGGAATCAGAGACATCTCATATACCTCTGTAGAGGGACTACATTGGTGCAGGTGGCACAGGGTGGTGGAGTCTTTCTGGTTTATTAAGCCTAAAATCCTTGAGTAAGTGGTTTGTGGAGAGAGGAAACCATAAAGGAGAGAGGGATGGGACCAGACCAGGCAAAAGGATGAGCCCAGATATGTGTGCCGGCTGAGGTGTGGTTTGAGACTGGCACCCAGCATGCCCTGAAGTGGGGCAACACCATAAATCTGCCTCAGCTGTTAGCAGTGTTATTATCCCTGTCAGTGGCTGAGGGCCACAGGACAGTTCCTGTGGGAGTCACATGACCTCTCAAGCAGTTAAAGTGAGAAGCCAGTGAACCCCAAGCCCTGGCCTACGCAGCCCACAGCTACAGAAGCCCATGGGACACTGTCAGTGAGACGCTCCCTGGCATCTTTCTAACTTTAGATCTCCTGTGTTTGCTGTTTTAATCGAGACAATTATTTCTATAAAACCAGTGGAAGTCTGATTTGGAGGCAGGACCCACCTCCTTTTCCGGATAAACCTTGGTCATCTTAGTTTCCCTTTAGTACCAGGGGTTCCCATGAGATGGTACCTTGCTGTACTGGTGGGTTATCTTGTCTGCATTGATGGTTCTAGCCATCCCTCAGCCTCACCAGGTCCATAGCCCAAGCCTCTTCCCACCCCTCCCTTCCGATCACAGGACATGGCTCAGGAGCACAGCCCGCAAGGACAGAACATTGGGTGGGCCCAGACAGAGACAGGGAGACATTCAGCTCTGTTCCTGCTTTTGGTGAGAGTGACATCACAGCTTGGAGCCCACATTGGGCCCAGGGCCAGGGAACCTGTTGAAATAGGTCACTTTTATTTATTTTTATGTTTTCATTTTCTCTCTTCTTCTTCTTAGGAAAATAACTTATCTGGCAGCCTCTCCTTCAGGAGCTGGCTGTCTGTATCTGTGAAGCAAGGAAATTCTTAGTCAGGCCAGAGGACTAGACCAGCAGAACAAGGGCTGGGAGGGATGTGGCTCTAGGCTCTGTCCCAGGGGCAGACAGTGTGACTTCGGACAGGACAGGTGACCCTGGCTGCTGGCTGTGCCAGTCTTTGTGCTCCGCTCCCCAGGGGTTCTGCCAGCTCTGCTGGTCTATGACTTAAACCCACCAGAGCCCAGCACAATGGCTTTTCTTTCAAAGACCTTCAGGGCAGGGTGTAGCTCAGTGGTGTGCCCAGCATGCTAGGGACCCTGGGTTCCGGTACCACTCACACACACAAAAAGACTTTGTTATACACAAAAATGCACATTCATCTGGACAACCCAGAGAAGCAGAGGAAATAATCCATAATTCCACCACCCAATGACGGGGTCTGTGGACATTCTGACATCACTATGTCCCATTGGCTTCCTTCCTGTGCATTTCTGAATGTGGCTGAGGTCATACTACAGGTATCATCTTTCAAAAACAAAATAATATTCTTAGCCTGGGGCCAAGGGGGTAGAGCACTTGCCTGGCATGTTAAGGCCCTGGGTTCCATTCCTAGCACTGTAAATGTACATGGCTGTGACATTGCTGCTTATTATACAGCTAATACAAGAATTATTTCCAAGACACACCTTCAAAATATAGAACTGTATGTAGCTCAGTAGTAGAGTGCATACTTAGAATTTTGGTACAGGGGGAAATATAGATGTATTTTTTAAACCACAAAAGTACCCCTTTTGTGTTCCTTTTTGTTGTCCCAGTATGTCATTGTCCCCTAAGCAGCCTGTGGTGACAGTGGAGGCCTGTTTTCCCTCAGTGTGTATATCTATACACATAGTCACTCTATGTGTGCAGTTTCACACCCATAGATTCAACAGCCACAGATGAAAGCATTCAGAGAAAAAATGCATTGCATTTGACCTGAAAATGGGCAGACTTTCTTCCTATCATTATTTCCTAGACAATATAGCTAGCACAGGGATCACTGTGTTATCATGCGTTAGTGTAAAATGTCAGAGATCACCAACATAGAAAGAGAAAGAAGTGCAGGGGCCTGGTGTTGCACATCTCAGTCTGTGATTGGCTGGTGCATTGTCCTGTGGTGTGATGAGAACATGGGATAGGTAGATCTGTTCCCCTCAAACTAAAGATGCAAAAGAGAGAGGGCAAAGTGCAGTGATTTCACTGTCCCCTTCAGGCCTAGTAACAGTAAGGGCGTCCTGCTAGGCACCACTCTTAAAGATTTGCCACCTCCTGAAAGCACTGGAATCTGTGGTCCAAGCCTCTATCACACAGGCCTTTGTAAGGAACTGGTCCAAAGGATGGCAGCTACTTACAAGGCATTTGTACTGGGCTTCGTGAGTAACATAGAGGATGCCAGGTCTGGAATGCAAATACCCCTCCATTTTATAGGGGAGACTTAAGCATCCTTGGGTTTGCTTTCTGTGTTCTTCTTGGATAGCTATAACTCTACATGTTGTAGAGCTTTTGTGAAGTCTACACACACATACACAACTTGTTTTAAGTTACTTACACTACTAATGAAATAATAACCAGCTGTTTTCCCACCAAGGCCTGTTCTGAACAACTGCCTGCCTGGGGATAAGCTCAAAGCAAGACACTCTGACTCCTGTGCAAGCTTTGTTGCTTCTCAGTCGTGAGCCCTTTGTGCCTCAGTTTCCCCTGATGTTGGCTGGATAGTTACAATGTCATCTTCCCCACAGGGAGTGTTCAGGTCCTGTGTTCTTACATAAACTCTTTAGTGATGTGTTTAGCACATAACAAGTGCTGTTGTGAGCCTGCTGGTCTCCACAGCAAACCTTTGATAACTGAGTCATGGGAAGGTTAGGTAGCCTGCCTTCCAGGGACCCAGTGCCAGCCTCTCCATGCATGCCAGTTAGTACATTCTCTACCCGCTTCTTCGAATCACAGACAAGGTCCAATCCACCAGCCACCATCATTTTGACAGGCACTTGGGTGGCTTCTAATTGTCACAGTTTCCATCAAGGCTGACTGGAGTGGCCTTTTGCACATGTCCGAGCATGAGTGTCTGTGCAAGCTGGCTTCGGGTGGAACTATTGAATCAGGCAGGGATTGCTTGCGTTTCTTTAGCTTTCTCATTACAGACCAGTGGCATCATCTGTGATGGCCATGTCAGGTGACTTCCACATTGGCTGGCACCTACTTCCCCTATACCCACTGAGGAACTTGACTGTTCCCATCTTCCCTCTATGCCTGGTTGTCTTAAAAATAGCTTACTTAAAAAGATCTATTCTTTCTCTGTGTCAAGCTTCCTCTGGTGTGCTTGCCAAGAGCTTGCTACATTTCCAAGGTGGACAAGAGCCTCTCCCTGCACATACTGGGACCACGTCAGGGAACACAGTAGAGCAGCCTGCTCATTGTTACAGTGCAGAAGCTGAACCACAGTGAGGCTATACAGAATGATGTTGAAGTCAGGACTGCCACTGGGGACCACAGATCTCCCATGTGTGGACTGAAGAACCTCATCAAAGGGCCCATGCTCCTGGGGGCTGCAGCTTGGCTCTTCCATTATGCCATTCTGGTGCTTAGGCAGGCACATGGGACTTGGTACTGAGTAAAGGAAGGTGTGAATGAGAGAGAGATAAAGAACAAATGAATGCCTGAACCTGTTCACCCAGTGACTCCAGAGTATGAGGTGTGGCAAGTGCTGGCCCTGGATAAGCACTTGTCATATGCTACCAGTCGGACCCTGTGCTGAGTTCCAAACCTACTAACTCTGTGACCCACACACCCTTCCACTGAAAGTTCAAATGTATCACCTCATATTTCAGAAAGGTAAACTGAGGCACTGAGATTGATGAGTACCTGAGTCATGTCACGTTGGTGAAAGAACACAGTGAGGATCCAGGTGGCAGATCAAGTGGCACACCCTTGTGGTCCCTCTTACTCCACATCCTTTTGCCTTGCATGTAGTCACCCGGGACCCTGTGTCCTCGTCTGCTCTAGCTCCTGCTTCCTCCTAGCTCTTCCTCCATCCTCACTAGCTTCAGGCAGTGGTAGGGGTGCTTGACTTTGTGGTGGATGATGAGGGGGGACTGTTTAGGACACTGCTCCCTCTGAGCCAAGCAGACACTTTCTCCTCTGCTGGCTGACTTATTGTGTAGCCGTGGGTTACCTGGGCATTGTGTTCATGGAGGGCTAAGTCGGGCTTCTGCAGAAGTGGGCTGGTCCCCACTCTGTGTGTGTATGTGTGACTGCTCTCTTTGTCCCCCACAGTGGTCGGGCTTGACATCCAAGATGAGATGGGCAGGCATGAAGTGGGCCACATTGACAACTCCATGAAGATCCCACTGAACAATGGAGCAGGCTGCCGCTTCGAAGGCCAATTCAGCATCAACAAAGTATGGAGACACTGCCTGGGCCCTTTTTCTGCTCCCTACCTACTTGACCTCAACAGAACCCATAGCAGGCTGAGAATTAGCACATGACTGCCTGGTAATTCTCTCTGAAACTGGGTAGACTTTGGACTCCCTGGGACTTCAGGCCCCTGATGTGGGTTGCACCTTGCTGGAATGGAGGACACTGAGGGAGGTGAGAAGACTTGGCTTCAAGTCCCAGCTCCTCCTCCTCTCCAAGCAAATGGTGGCCCACCTGAGGTTACAGCCGTGATGGTAAATAATGCCACAGTGGCTATCACCTATGTCACTAAGCTCATGTTGGATAAATGAGTGAACAGTCACCGTTCATCCTAGGTTTGAAATGTGTACCTTGTGTCAGAGATAGGCATAGGCTCTGGCAACACAGTGAACAGACCAGTGAGGTTCGGAGGTATGTGGCGATGGCCAGGACATATCCATCCCTGCCTTATATCTGCTGGTCAGCCCAGTAGATAGTCCCCTCTGTGGGCTACCTGGGAATGGGAGAAGGCTGAGAGCTGAAGTGGAAGAGGACAGAGTCAATAGGACTTAGCTGTGAATTGGGGGTGGCATGTACAGCACCCACAGACCCAAACAACCTGCTGAGTGCCTGCTTCCACAGCAGTTTTGCAGCTGAGGAAGCTTGGAAAAGAGAGGTTCCATAGGAAGGGCTGGGAATCAGTCTTTCAATTCTGGTATGTTTGATTCCCAGCAGGTATCTCCAGGGAAATGTTAAGCTGGAATTTGGAGATGTGTGTCTGAGGTTGAAGGAGAGAGTTTTGGGCAACAGGCCTTCCCTTCCCGTACGAATCAACAATGTACAATGATGTGGGAAGTCATAGATTTAGGTTGAGAACACTCTGAATCTGCACCCCTAGCATCATTGCCTTGGGAGTATGAGGGATGCAGAACCATACTTTACCTCCAGCCCCCCTGAAGCCCAAGACTCCTGACACCAAACACTTAAGAATCCCAAGGTCTTCCATGCAAAGGGTATAAAGCCTTGTTATAAACCTAGGGTCCACTAAAACCTGAAAGAGTACAGATTTATCTGCAGATAGCCCAAAGAATATAGATTGTTTCATCTGTCTTTTTACTAAGCTAAGTTAGCATTTCCTACAGCAGTTAATACAATCCAAAAACCCAAGTCAGTGTTAGTTATACCTGTGACTTTGTTACCCAAAGCTGCTGCTATTCACACTCCCATTACAGTTGTGAAGAATTTCAAGATACTGTACACACATTGCTACTTTGTGAATGACAGCAGCCAACATACAGGTAAAGCCTTGAAAAAAAATTGCATCACTTTGATAATATAGTTAGATAGATAATAAAGCAAGTGCTGTGGTGGGGAATGGGTGATCTCCCTGTGGTGGGGCTGTTAGGGTGCCTGTGGTGACAGTGTGACAGTGGAAGATTACCAGGCACATGTGCATACGTCCTCCCTTCCCAGTTGTGAGATGTGGTCACTGCATTTAAATATGCACACTCCTGATGACTCATGTGTCACACCACCTACCTGGTCTTCTGCTCCTTTAGGTGGGCTATGTTGTGGATCCCAGATGGCCTTGGATGAAGCAGAACTTGCCCTTTCAAGTCAGACCAACCAATGTGTATTTAAAAAGCCTGACTCTGGTGTCCTGGCTAAGGACACCAAACTCTGTAAGGGAGAGAGGGATGGCTATGTTAATATCTACCTCATAGCAACCAAATCAAACATATAAAGTGCTTCATGATGTGATGACTGGGCAGGCATGGGTCTTCTTCCCTCTCCTGCCTTGTAACTCACCTGTAGGCTATTGTCCTGCCCTTGTCAGCCTGTGCTTGACATCACTTTGGCATAAGTGCATTTGCACACTGCACATGGACAGCAAACATGCAAGGAACTGGGCCTCTCTGAGCCAGAGGAGGACATGGTAGCCTGTGAAAGAGCTAACTAGCCCTTGTTCTATGACCACCGTCCAATGGATTCTTACTGGCCTTTAACCAGAGCATAGGAATTCAGTAGCATTTAAGGGACCTCTGCTAGGTCTAAACTCAGGCACTCTGGCCACTGGCCCTGAGTCCTGTATGTGGCTACTGCTTTTAACATATTGTACATGCTATGACCAGAGTGGCCATGTTCTTCAGGCACAGCTTGGCCCACTATCCATCCAGCCCTTTGGCGAATGTAGAGACTCCTGACCACACCCACTCTCCGTTTCTGGGGCCTTGTGTCTCTGGAGCTGTCATTAAGACAGCCAGTGTGAGCCCAGCAGTGATGGTGCACACCTTTAAATTAATCCCAGCACTTAGGAGGCAGAGGCAGGTGGATCTCTTGAGTTCAAGGCCAGCCTGGTCTACAGAACAAGTTCCAGGACAACCAGGAACTATATTTCAGGGCTATGCAGAGAAACCCCGTCTGGAAGCCTCCCCCTCCCAAAAAATAAAATAAATTAAAAAGTAGCCAGTGTGACAGCCTGCTATGAGGACAAAAAGAGCAGCTGTCCCTCCATGATCTCTCATCATTAGACATAGACTTGACCCCTTTATAGCACTTTTATAGACATGGCCCTTTGTCACCCATCAGGAAGCTGACCAACAGTGAGATGCCGGTTTACCTGCAGGTGCCCTGGCAGCCCCCAGCAGCTCAGACTGAATCTGCCCGGTAGCCCTGCTAATCATGGCTGCCCCTGGAAGGAAGGCAGAGGGAAGGGGGGGAGGGCCCAACTCCAGCTATGTATTTTTAAAATCCATCTGAGACACTGACGTAGGTGCCTAAGTCACAGGTTCTAAAAGCATCATCTTCTGTTTCTTCAGCTCAGCGTGTGCTTGTGTGACTCAGACCCCTGTGATGGATTTGGTGTGTCGTGGAGTGGGTTACTGAGTCACAGCCTCGAAGGGCTGGCAGCGGGTGGCAGATAACGCGGGAGCCAGTTTTCTCTACTCTCTTAACTTTGGGGACAGAGACCCCAAACCCAAGGCTGTCAGGAAACCTGATGGGACACTGTCAGTCTCAGGAATTCTGAGAGCATCATGTAAATGGCTTTTTTTTTTTTCTCTTTCCTGGTGCTGGAATGGATCCCAAGGCCTTGTGTATATGAGGCAAGGTGCTCTTCCTGAGGTAGATACCTAACTACATCTCTATGGAGCTAAACCCAGCCCTGGGCAGGTTTTGTAATAGAAATAAATGCAGGTATTACTTATACTGTGAAAGGAAGCATGAAAGTGTTTTCAAAAGCAGTGGCTTTTCCTCGAAACCTGATGCCTGCTCTTCCAGGACCCCTACTCTGTGAATACTAAAGTGTGTTCATTCCATGTGCCTGTGTGCTTCTGTCATTCTCAAACCTCTGTGGTCATCATCCCCATTTTCTGATGGGAAAACACGCACACAGGGACAACTGGGCATGAGCTCAAGTGCCACTTGTGTTGGGTCCCTGAGGCAGGCCATGCTCTGTTCATTCTAGAGAACTTCCTGAGCTGTCGTTTCTGTACCCCCTGGGCTGCCCTCTTTAGCTATGGCTCATAGGAGTTTGAGCTTCGGCTGCTATTGAAGACAGGCTGTCCAGCTGGAGTCCTGCGGCCCAGGGCCTGAAACAGGGAACTGTCCCATACCAGGCTGTAGCCATGTTCCTCCCTCCATAGCAGCTGGACTGAGAAAGACCCTGGGTTTTCAGTGTGGCAGTTGGGATTTTAGCTAAATGGCCTCACCTCCCTGCTTTTGCTGCCTGCAACTCTACTCTTCTTTGACCCCATTCTGTTCTAGGGTTTCCTATCTCTCGGGCATACCTCTTGCTTGTGCTATCTCTGTGCTAAGGCCTCAGGAAGAAACCTGAGAAAATTCAGGCTTTATGGCCTCTGCACAAGGGAGTTCTTCCCCATCCAAAGCCCTCCCCAAACGTACCCAAAACAGAGCTGAGGGCCCTCCTCAGCCTGAGCATGGGGCTGAGAGAGATGGGGAAAGCTTGATGGACAAGCATTCCAGGAATGAGTGGCCAGCACAAAGGCCCCAAGATGGGGCTGTGCAGAACACTATTCCCAGTGCCAGTGCACCCCCCAGGGAGGTAACAGTGGTGCTGATGATGCCTACAGAGTAGGACTGTGTGACCAGTGGCCAGAATGTATCTCAGAAGCCTGCAGGCTCTACAGGGTTTTTTCACTGCCATAGTGAAATACTGAGGCAATAATGGATAAAGAAAAGCTATCTGTTTAGCCCTAGAGGCTGAAAGTTCAGGATCAGGTGCCCATCAGTTGGCCTCTTGGAGAACATCACAATGGTAGACACGTGACAGAAAGCATCCTAAAGGAAGGATGCCATGGTGGGACAGGAAGCCAGAAACAGGACAGGGCAGGTTTGCTCTTTCAAAAACCAGCCTAGCCCCAAGAGAACCACATTAATCCCTTCTGAGATCAGTGTCCTTTAGCCGCCTAAGGATCACCACCCCCAACTAGGCCCCCATCATAAGAGGTCCTGTCTCTGTGCTCATGGCCACAGTGAGGCCACACCCCCAGCACATGAACTCTTGTGTAACAAACCACCTTAAAAGAGCAGGCTAACTGTTAGAAGCCTTGGAGGGTTTAGGGCTGAGGTGTGGGATGATCAAAAGCAGGCTTTAACACACTTGCTCTCACAGCCCTGGGGAAGGGTCTGTGTTGGGGAGAGGCTAGGGTGAGCAGACCCTGGGAACCCAGGACAGAAGCTACTCAGATCTTCTGCTGGGATCTGTGGAGGGAAGATGAATGCCGGCAAGGACACCAGAGTCAGTCTCTTGGGATTCCCTGTCTATGATGATGAGGCCAACTTGAGTATATGTGCACTTGGTTTAGTGTTTGAGGAAGTCATTTGCTGGTTCAGAGGGCACCCCACCTCTATTGAGCTATCAGTCTCGAATGCTGTCGATTTGAGTCAGGCTGTGTCTGATGCCCACCTGGATGCACTCTTGCCCTGGGTTATCCCTGATCTCTCTTCCAGTAGCTTCTGTGAGCATACCAGTTTTCTTCAAAGTCATGCTACAAGCCAGAGTTCCAGTCCCATTGTATGTCTGTGGGTCACACAGCCTTTGCAGTCAACCCCCTTGGACAGCCACACAGGTACATGAAACCTGCCTTTCTTTCTCTAGGTCCCCGGCAACTTCCATGTGTCCACACACAGTGCCACAGCCCAGCCTCAAAACCCGGACATGACACATATCATTCACAAGCTCTCCTTTGGGGATACACTACAGGTGAGCAGGGGGCACAGGGTGGCATGGCTGTGAGCTAGTGTATTGGGGCTCCTCCCTAAGGGTCACCCACATGAGGTTGTTTCACTGGGCTCCTCTTTGTCATGTCTTCTGAGGATGTGGCTACGGTGTCCCCAACCACACATCAGACTCAGATGCTCGGGCTGGGAACTGGGGCTAGGAGGGAGGTGGACTCCAGAGTTAGGCTCACTCCCCTCATAGCTTTCACAGCCTGGTTTTTGTTGCTATCGCTGAGCAGCTGAGTGTTTAAAGAAGTCTGTTTAGCTTACAGCTCTGGAGTCTCAGAAATCAAAAACACACTACCAGCATGCTACTATGGAGAGGGCCTCCGTCTTGTTATATCCGAACATGGCCAGGCCCATGATGGACAGTGCCACAAGGCCCAGGGAAGGGATTATTAGACATGTTACCCTCTCTCAGAAGGCCCATTCTACGCCATACCCAAACCTTCATCTTTATATTAACACACTCTCAAGCTGACTGACTTTCAGAAAAATTAATCAGCATGTATCTGTGACCCCAGAATGACACATATAGACATGAAATGCCAAAGGCCTGAGTCACCCAAGAGGACTCCTCTCAGTTGGCTTGAAAGCCCAAAGGAATCTGTCTGGAGGGGAGCAGGGACCTGGGCTTGTGTGGGGAAGGGCTATGCTAGGTCGGTGAAGAGAGGCCACTGCCACACCAAACGTACATCTTTCATGAGGAAGAAGGGTCCATGAAGCAAGACTGTAGGCAAAGAGGTGAGGGAAGGGACACACCCTGGACAAGGAGGACAAGGACCCAGGCTAGAGCAGGGAGCAGGGAGAAGACAAGAGGGCAGGTTGGGGCCGCGTGTAGACACAAAGCCCAAGGACTACAGCTTCCCTCTGCTCCACAGGGATTGGAGATTTTCTTAGCTAAGAGCCAATCCATGTCCATCTGTTCGCCCGGAAAAACATTTGTCCACCACCTACTGTGTGCCAGGTCTTGCACATATTGATCAGGCGGAGGATGGTCCCTGCTGGTATGACTCTTCCAGCCTGGAGGACACACCACGACTCCTCCATCCTCGGGGATCAGGAACCAGGTCTTCACACTTGTGTTCCCAGGGCAGCATACAGGCAGGCACACTCCCCTTTTCTGCCCTACCCTGCCCTGGCCGTGTGCAGGTTGTACTTCTATTGATTGTCAACAAGCATCAGCCTCATGGGGTCAGCCTGGGGGCCAAGTCACCCATCTGATGCTCCTAATGCATTCTCCACAGGAGCCTGTCCTACCTACTGCCCTGCTCTCCGCTCCTTCCCTCTTCCCTGGGCTCCCACAGGCCTCTGTTTGGCCCAGTCTCCAGGCTCAGACCTTTGCAAGGTCTGCTTGCTTGGCACAATTTGGGCCTTCCTCTAGGTCAGTGCCAGTGACCTTTCCTCCCAGAAGCCTTCATTAACCAGACCTGGTTGTGTGTCCCACATACCAGGCACACCTGTTCTGCTGTAGACACTCCCTGCAGCCAGCCTGGCTTCATCTTTGAAGGAGAGGTGGGATGTGGTTCTTCACCCACTTCTCCAACAGCCACTGCCATGTGGGGGTGTCTCTTCAGAACTCTTGTATGTCACCTACGCTTACACAGTGGGAGGCCACAAGTCTGCATCCCTAAACTGGCTCTTCTCAGGACCATTCAGAGGGCTAGGAGGGTCATGGAAGGAGTGTGACACAGATGAACCTTTTTCTGGGTTTTCTCTGAAGATTCTTAGGGACACAGACTGAGCTCACTTTGACTCAGTCACCAATTCAGATGTTTGACAGGTTGGTGTGCTGTTTCAAACCTTGCTTTGCTAGTCTGTAGAGTGGGCTAAGGCGTCTATCTTTAAGGGTTGATAAATGAGATGACACTAAGTGGCCAGGACAGAGTGGATGCTTAAAATGACAAGCATGCTCCTGCCTCCTGTGTACCCAGCCTACACCATCTCTTGTTCCCCAGACCTTTGTATGAGCCAGTCCCTGCGAGATTGCTCTTCATGACCAGATGGTCCCTGGCCAGCCCCCACCATCAAGGCTAGGCTTGGTAGTAGCAGCCTCCTAGGGACCATCTCTCACTGTGCTTCTCTGCAGGTCCAGAATGTTCATGGAGCTTTCAACGCACTGGGTGGAGCAGACAGACTCACCTCTAATCGTGAGTATCCTAGCATAGAGCAATCCTCTCCCCCAGAGTCCCCTCACAGTAGGTGGCATGGGAACACAGCAGCCAGACGGGCAGAAGGGTTAATCAGGTACTTGCTACAAGCCAAGGTCATGTCCTCGAACTGCTCCTTTCCCACAGCCTTCCTGACCTACAGAAAAGGGACGAGAATATTCTGTCCCTAGGGAAGGTAGATCGAAGCCCTGGAATATCGACAAGCTCTGACACCAGTTGCTGTCACTGTTGTTAATCACTGCTTTGCCACTGTCCTAAGTGGAGGTAGTCACTTGGATGCCATAGTCTGGTGGCAGAACCAGAATCCACTGTATGGGAACCAGCCCCATAGGGGGCCAGTGGGGTAATAAGCTGGTCCCTCCCCTCCTCCACTTTGTGCCCCAGCCCTTCCTATCAACCATTGGCTCCTTCCAGAGTTACAGAGAATGCTGAGTAAAAAGTGCATGCGCATGGGTGCACATGCGCGCACACACACACACGTCCATTTTTATATGTGCTCATGTGTGTGCATGCACACACACAGTAAGGTAAGAAAAATGTTCACTGGGTCACTTTGGAAAACGATGTTAGTGTTACCCCTGGTATATGGTAGGGAATCACATCTTGGGATATGGCAGCTACTGGCTGTGATGCCTCATGGCTGGCAGTCAGACACCAAGTGCATATTGCTCAGGCACAGTACCAAGTTCTAGAGACAAGGAGGTGAACAAATGAAGCAAACAGTCTCCACCGGCTTCCGTTCTGTGTTGTTGACTTGGGAAGATGGTCATGACACCTGGCCCTGAGGAGCAGCCCCTGTGTGAATCCATGGGGACATCTGGCATGTTATACTTTAATGGGAATGTGAACTGGTTTTCCGTATATTAGGGTGGACATTAGGGTGACTATCATTGTTTTTTCTTTTGTGACTATCTTTGCTTTGTGCAAATAACAAAAAGATATTACAGTTGTGATTTTTGCTAAGGCGTTCCTTCCTTCAAACTTCATCCCTGGGTAATAGGGATTTGAGACATGGACTTCAAGGTGTTATTTGGCTTCCTAGTTTAATTATAGATCCTGAGCTCACATGGGAGTCTCCAGGGGTGACCCTAGTGCCATTGCAGCCACTAGGGTATTGGGGTCCCCTGGGCTTAACTTAAAGTCTGAGCTTTCCCCAGATTACCTGGGGGTATCAACTCTATTCCAGAAGTGCTGTCCATTCCTGGGGAGATATCAGGGTCGGGAGGAGGCAGGAGTGAGCTTGTTGGGTCTGAAAGGGTCTCTCAGTGCCCACCACTCATACGCATCAATCTGAAGACAGGACTGACTGTGGAGACCAGGACTAGGACACACAAGACTCCCTTTCCATGTTATCTTTGCTTCATGATTCCCGACTCCCAACTCAAGGTTCTAGAAAGAATAAAAAGATGGACATAGAACCTCTCTTGGTGTCCCAAAGGTCCACAGCATTCAGTCCTTTGCCCAGGAAGCCTGTGGCAGCTGTGGTTCAGTTACCTCATACTTACCAGTGGCTAATTGATCCATTCTCCATTCATGCCTTTGTCCAGTCATCCTTCTGGCCATTCATTCATTCATTCGACAAGATTTGCCACTGTCCACTCAGTACCAGGCTCTGTGCAGGGTTTGGGGGCAGGGATATGTGACTTAGTCCTTGTCCTCAGCATCGTCCCCCTATCCAGGCTGGAGGAGAGCTCGGTAGAAGGGTTATGTTGAAATATTGCAAGGTTGAATGATCAGCTGTTTATTGAGAAAGAAGAGGGATTGACCAGACTTTTGTTTTTTGTTTTTTGCGGTGCCAGGGCTGCAGCCAAGTGTGTGCTTAGGCGGGTGCTTGACCTCTGCCCTCGGGGATTGATCAGTTCTTATGTAGTTCTTTCTGGAAGATTCTTTCCATTTCTTTTTGAATCCAGAACCCTGTTATTTTAAAAGTAAAATCATGCAGACAGTGCCCACAATGAAATGGGGTTTTTCTTGACTCCCACCTTTCCCTGGAAAGTTCCATGGGGGTGGGGGATGGTGAGGAATGCCGCCCTGCCCTGCCAGTCTCTCTCAAGGCTAGGTGAAGGGGAAACTGGAGCTGCTCCACTTCCTGGATCTCTTCCTAGATAATTCTTTGTGGTCACACATTAAAGAGAACATGTCCCCGGCCCCTTATTCAAAGGAACATGCTGATCCGTCCGTGGCTTGACTTGTGGAGGAGATGCCTTCTCGGCACCCCTTGTTAACAGTTGCCCCGTTTGTGAGAATGTGACCCTGAATATTGTATGTTATATAACGTAGATGTAGAGATCCTAGCAAATGGAAACAATTACTCAGACCCTGGCATTCCAGAGAAGAGGAGAGGAGAAAGCACTCTGTATTGCTAGGAGGCCTTGAGCTTGGGATGGCATTGGAGGCTGCCTGCCTGGCAGTGCCCAGCCTGTTACATCTTGTTTTGTACTATCTGTAGCCCTGGCTTCCCATGACTACATCTTGAAGATTGTGCCCACAGTGTATGAGGACAAGAATGGCAAGCAGCGTTACTCCTACCAGTACACAGTGGCCAACAAGGTGAGTGGGCTGTAAATGGACTGAGCATTGCAATTGCGCCCTCTGCTGGCTGAGAGAAGATGCAGTGCCCCCTTGCATTCTGCTGAAAGAGGTTGGGGTGTAGGTAGTTCTACTAGGCTTGTTGTCTAGTCTAGGTAAACATGAAATACTCAATCCTTGCCATTGTGGAGGCTTCGAGGTCCAGGGGAGAAACTCTAACAAGGAGATAGGATGTTATCTGTTTAAAATAGCAGGCAGAGGACTGTCCCTAAATGTCTTTGGCCTGGCTTCTACTGGTCCTGGTTTTTTCAGGCTCCTATTGATGGTAGATGCTCTGGCTCAGCCAGGGAATCACATCAAGGTAGCTGGGGATGTCTTAGGATCCCAACACTTCAAGAGACAGACAGATCTTATGGGAAGCAGGGACATCAGAGCCAAAGAAATGAGATGACCCTGCGGTTAGTGGCTTAGGCCTCTCCAGAAACAGCGCTGCCAAAAGGACTCTGCCAGTGGGACATAAGCGCTTAGAATAGGGAGAAATCCTGCCCCAGCCCAGTGGGTGGGTTTCTCAATTGACTACCAGACCACCAGGACTCTCCTGTTTCTGTTATTGCAGGGTTACCCAAACCCTAAGTAAATGATGGGCTGTTTAGCTCAATTAACTATAATCATGGTTGGGGTGGGCTTTGTCATGTTGTGAGTACTTAGGAACTAGACACACCTAGCTCCTTGCCTCCATCATCATCTTCTTTTCTAATGTTTTTTTCTTTTTAAGACAAGATTTCTCTGCATAGCCCTGGCAGTCCTGGGACTCACTCTGTAGACCAGGCTGGCCTCGAACTCATAGAGCTCTGCCTGCCTCTATTTCCCAAATGCTGGGATTAAAGGTGTACGCTACTACCACTTGGCTTCCACCACCATTTTCAGACACTATGACTACCCTGAATTGGGTGCTGTTGTCCCATTTTACAGATTTGATTACCAAGCAACTGAAAGATAGTCACAGAGTACATAGATGCTGCATAGGGATTAGGACCAGGTTCCTCTTTGGCTCCAGAGCCACCTGGTTGTTCACCAACTCCAGCTGTCCAGTCTGTCCATCTGTCAAGGGACTATCCAGGCTTACCCACTTGGGAAGCCTCTCCATGATGCCTCTGTTCTAATCCATAGCTCTCCCTGGGGAGGCTTAATTTCTTTCACTCCCCACGTCACAGACAGTGTCTAGCCTACTCTCTTCCCTGGTGATGTAACAAAATCCGAAGACTAAGAAATAATGTAAAGGATAGGACTTGATTTATGTCATGGAGCTGGAGAAGAGGAAATGAAAGCGATTGTCCCCAGCCTATGCTGAGGCTTTTTGCTGTCTCATCCCACAGTGGTGAGCAGGGGCATGGAGAGACACAAGCATGCTAACTGAGAAGCAAGCATCTTCCTCCACTCACAGAAGTGCTAGGGTTGCCGCTGCCACTCCTCCTCATCCTCATCTAACTTAATCACCTCCCAAAGGTCGCACCTGCAGTTAACACCAATGTATACTTACGGGTTGAACTATACTTGTCTGTTGAACTACAAAAAATAAGTAAGATGCAAGTACAGATGTAGAGGAACAATGGTGCACTCACCTAGCATGCGCAAGGCCCTGGATTCAACCCTCAGTACTGCAGCAAACAAATGCATATGACTTTGAGGGGGTGGGACATGTTTAAACCATTGTACTCATTGTGACCCCTCCCCACCCCCAGTGCTACCACATCTGAGTGGGAAGCATGGGGTCCTTTGGACCTCATTGCCCCCTCCAGCTTCATCATCATTGCCTGTTTACTTGTTTATAATGTGTCGGTGGTACTTACTTCACAAGGTTGCTCTCAAATGAAGCAATGTTTTCAGAAAAACACTCGGCCTGCAAAGGAGGCTTGGGTGATTGGTGCTGACTGCTGCTGTTTTTCATTCTGTTTCTCACCCCTCAGCTCTCTCAGTTGCCCAGCTCTCTCAGCTCTCCCCTGGGAAAGTGGCGTTTTCTCTGCCCCAGGCTCTTACCCTCCAGACTTTGGCAAAGGCCTGGTGGCTGGAACAGCTCACTCAGCATTCTCTGTGGCTTTAGCCCCAGACTGACCTATGAATGGAAGTGGCTATCCAGTGGGAGGTTAGGACTCAGTGGGGTCCATGGGATCAGCCCTGATGCTCAAGATCAGTGCTGAGGACATACGGGGTGGAGCTTGGGGCACCCCAGCATCCATCCTATTTGTTGTCAGCAAGAAAGACATGCTCAGAGCTTTTCAGTGCCCTGTGCAGCTCAGATCCCTAGGGTTGCAGTGGGTAAAACCAAGCCCTTTGGGAGGGGATGAGAATGACCCAAAGGTAACCTGTCGCCTTAGCTCCTTGGTGTCTATTTAGTCATTGCTGAGTGCTTTCTTAAGAGCCATGCAGGCTAGCCGCTGCACCTTTCTGGTTCTCTGTGCTGGCCCTGCTTTGTGGGCGAGCTCACTCCCACCTGGCCTTTGCATGAGTCACATACACACATCAGACAGGAGCGCTTGAGCGCCTCCATTCTACATGAACACTGTTGGAAGTTAGTGGAGCCGTGAAGTCTCTCCCCTCAAGCTGGGTGGTTTTACCTCCTCTGAGGAAGGGCCTTTGTCACCCCAGGGATCCCAGGACAGTAAAAGTGTTCAACAGAATAAATGACCAGGTTTCATGCTGCTGGATAATTCAAGAAGAAATACTCAGATTAAGCCCAAAGCCCTCTTCCCTCTTACATCTCACCCACCGTTCAGGTCTGTGCTCAATTCTGCTGCCCCCTTTCCTACAGCTGAAGGGATCCAAAATGCCCCACTCGGCTGCCTGCCCTGAGGCCTTGGGAGAAGGAAGCTGCCTGGATGCCCTCTGTAGTCCACAGCCCCACCCACCTGAGGCTGGCTCTACTTGTAATTATCCCATTGCCTTCCTTTTCTCCCCTATAGGAGTATGTTGCCTACAGCCACACGGGCCGCATTATCCCTGCCATCTGGTTCCGCTATGACCTCAGCCCCATCACAGTCAAGTACACAGAGAGAAGGCAACCACTCTACAGGTTCATCACCACAGTAAGTCACCCAGGGCCAGCCGTGCACCTGCTGTGGGCTCCCTTGTCTGGGCAGCCCATACCTCTCCTTGCTGGAACCAGACAGGGCTGTTAGGCCCCAGTTGAACACAGGTGGCTTTGACTCCCAGACTGATGAAAAGTCTTGCCAGAAGCATTCTGGAACCCCTGGCATTTCCCCTAGCTGGTATGTTCTGAGAGATGCCACCTGGCACATCTAATTCCTAAGGGAAATCTCTACTGGCTCCAGGATGTTGGTGATTTTCTCTTTTTGGTGTTACTCCATGGAAATTATTTTCAGCATTTGTTTTTGTTGTTGTTGTTTTATTTTGGTTTTTTTGTTTGCTTTTAAGAAAAGGTCTCCCTCTGCAGCCCTGGCTGTAATGGAACAAACTCTGTAGACCAGGCTGGTCTCAAACTCACAGAGATCCACCCGCCTCTGCCTCCTGAGTGCTGGGATTAAAGGGGTATGTTACCATTAAAGGCATGCCTGCCTGCCATGACATGCCTTTTAACTTCTTTTTTTCATGTCTTCGTTCACGGTACAGCTGTCCTGGGTCCAGCCTGTTCTTTCTTCCTGCTTACTTTTCTTCCTTTGCTTTTCCTTCTCTCCATCTTGTCTGGGAGCATTAGGGGGTCAGTTTAGTTTTACACTGATTATTTCTGTAACATGTACAGTTTCCTGGCCTTCAATTCATCACCCTTGTACAGAGCAGGTGGGTCACAGTGCCTGCTCCACCCAAGCTCCGGAGGTCTGGGGGAAGCCAGAGTCAGCAGAGGCGAAAGACAGGACTGCCCTCTCTACCTGTCAAATTTGGCCACTGAGGACTAAAGATGCATGTAACATTAGAAGGCCTTGGGTGAGGTGAGATAGGGTCTTGGTGTGTAGTCCAGGCTGGCCTGGAACTTGCAGAAATCCTCCTGGGCTCAGGAAAATTTCATACAAGCCTCCTAAGTAGCTAGGAGTACCACTTCCCTCACTCAGCTTCATACTTTTAGTGGTGGTTGAGATCCGGCATCTAAATCCTGGCTGGTTTATTTCCTGCTGTGGCAGGGTCTGTGTTAGTCAAGAATTACAGAACAAACAGGATCGATGCAGCTGGCTTGAGTGGTGAGTCAGCAGCAGGCCTGGCTGTATCTAGTCACACACTCTGTGACAAGTATCTCTTTCCATCTTCAGTCTTTTCATCTCTGTGTGCCCTGGCTTTGTTCTCGGACAGTAGTAGAAGCTCTCTGTTTATCAGTAATTCCATGCCAAAGCCTGGAAAGCACAGTGTTCTCCTTGCCACTCCTGAGTTCCTACTATGTACTTCAGGCTCCAAGAAGGGAATTAATTCTCTGCTTGCCCTGGGCTAGGTCTCTTGCCCTCTCTGTAACCAAAGGTGGTGAGGAATGGCATTCCTCAAGGGGAAAATCAAGGCTTGTTCCTGGGAGAGGGGTGAGTGGACACTGTAAGGCACATAGTCATGGAGGTGTCTGTGGAAATGCCATTGCTTCTAACCGGTGACATAAGAATAATGATCTTAGCCGGACAGTGATGGCTCACGTGTTTAATTCCAGCACATGGGAGGCAGAGGCATGTGGATCTCTGTGAGTTCAAGGCCAGCTTGATCTACAGAGAAAATTCCAAGCCAGCTAGTGATACACAGAGAAACCCTGTCTCAAAAACACAAAACAAAACAAAAAAAAAAGAATAATGATCTTTGTTCTTGCTGCCTCCCAGGCCTCTGAGGCTCAGAGAGTACCATAGAAGGGAAAATTCTACAGATAAAAAGAGCAGGTAGATACTATGTGTGTCATAGCCCCTGGCTTGGATAAGCCTCAAAACAGCTTTTTGACATTCTGTGAGTGCACAGGAATCCAACTCTCTGTTGAACAAATAGCACCTACATAGAGCTGAAACACCACACACAGGCTGGAAAGGGTTTGCTACCCATGTATGGAGGAATGGTTATCAGCATCTGTATAGAAAGGCCTCCATGCTAGCAAGTAGCCAAAGGCTAAGGACCACTCTTCTCCTAGCAGACCAATGAATCCTAAGACTCATAATGTTAAGACCCATTGTATCCTACCTGCCTGGTCTTGTGCAGTCTTCCTCTCCACAAAGATGGAAATGGGATAAAACTAGGTATCCACATATGGGGAGAGATTTATAAAACTTCACCTCCAAATCAAGGGCTTTGTAAAGTAATGCTTTTATCCAATACCCCCCCCATTCAAGTACATGCTAAGTTCATGTGGTGTTGATTTGTCCCAGTCTGGTTCCATTGCATACCCAGAATAAGCCAAACACTTAGAAGCAGATGTCCTCTGTGCTTCCAGGCAGGTGTGGCCTGTTCTCAGAGGACCTAGGGGCTGTACTGCCAATGGTGCCATTGACACACCACACTGCTAGGCTGAGAAGGTCCCTGCATGGGCCCCAACCCCCAGTTCCCATTTGTTCCTGGGAAGCAGCTGAGCCTCCAAGCATCAAAAATCCCTTGGCAAGTGACTGAGGAATGAAACAGCTTCCGTTCCTCATTTACGGTTTGCTAGAATTTGCCATGCCAGTCCTGAGCAAGCCTGGCCCTCCAAGAACTTCCCAGTGGTGTGGAACATTCATGTCAAACACAGCACTGTGCCACGACAGCCTTGCTCCTGGGTTCTGCAGTGGCAGAGAGGAGGTCCTCACATCTATTCTGCAAGGCCCTGACACAAAGGGGAGGGAGCTGCCTTGGAAAGGGCCTTGTGAGTGCTGAGACACCAGGCCAGTGGCCTTTTGAAGGCCAAACAGCTCTCTTCTTGGGATGGACCCAGGGTTAGGTCAAGGTGAGCCATTGACATTCCAAGAGGTGGAGGTTTGTTCCACAAAGCACAGGGACAATCTTCCTCACCGTATGTGATTCCTCCCCTTGTCCATCTCCCTTCAGCCCCAAGCTTGTCAACCATCTCCCCGTCAGGTCCACCTCTGCTGGAGTAAGACCCCATAAATTCCCAGGCTTGCTAACCACACTCTTCCATGGAACTTCCTGATATTAGCTTGGCTTGTTTTCTGAAGACCCAAGGCTGCCATCTTGGTTGCTGTGGCAACTGTAGGGTCAGCTCACGAGCCAGCTGGCTCCCGGCAGATGGCGTCATAATGGAGCTTCAAAGCCCTTTGTCATAGGGCAGCAGATGTGAAGGCGATGCTGGCACTCACACAGGCGGCACAAAGACTCCTGGAGCCTGTAGAGGGTGGGTGGGGCTGGAGCAGAGTGGCGACACCTGCCGTGGGCTTCTCATCCTCTCCTTTTAAAATCAAACACTTGTGTGTGACACTCCAAACTCCAAGTGGGTGTCCTCTGGAAATAGCCCTCAGAGGGGGCTGCTGAAGAAGGGCTTAGGCTGAGATGTTGTCATGTGATGGCTAGAGGAAGGGGAGCAGCTGCGCCTGGGCTGGAGTGAGGGCGAGAGGTTCCAAAAGAAGCGTTGTTCACGTACCTGGTACCTGCTTGATGCTGGGTTCCCTCAGGGACAGGTCTTCAAGGAGCATGCCCTGCAGTATCCGGCACCAGGCTGCCCAAAGCTCCTCCTTCTGGATTCTCACAATACCCCAATCAAACTTATCCCTCTTGCTCTGCCTGCATCTTCCCCCACCCCTCCATACCGACCCCTGCAGTTTGCTGAAACCATCTTTTGAGAGTCAAGTGGGCAGTGGTGACAGATTGAATGACTTGAGGTGTCAGATCTCTTCCTATGCATGGTTTATTTTGAGAGCGAATACCCAGAAGCCATTAAGTGCCAAATTGGGCTTGGCATGACTAACAGTTCTTGCCCACCAGAAAGTACCAGAGTCTGATGGTGTGGTCCCATTGAACATTGTCATGCAGCCGTTCCAACTAAAGAGACACTTAGGGGCCTTGGGATGAGGGAGTTTGGCTAGAGTAGGCCCCACCCACCCATGTACTTTCCAGTGTCCTCCCCCACACTTTCCTTACTGGGAAAATAATGCCCCATGCTTTAGCTTGCACTTCACAGTTGCTGGGTCCAGTTATAGCCTACAGGTGTCATGACTCATTCACTATGGTGTCCCTGGTAAATGGGTGAACTCGGGTGTTCACAGGTGTGTAAAGGGCAGCTGCTTAGAGAAGTGATGGTAGCTGCCTTTACTTAGCACCTACTACAGGCAGTTTTGTATTTATTCCCTTAACCCTTCCAGGAACCTCAGTAGAGGCTCTACTGTTTCTGTTTTGGATATGAGTTCAGCTAAGGCTTGGAGAAGTAAAGAAACTCCTTCAAAGATCATACAGCTAGTGAATGATGAAGCTGAGACTTGACCCCCATACCTACCTTTGTAATATCTTCTCCTTTCCAAACAAGGGCCCTCAACAATGTTACAGCAACAGAGGCCCCAGAAGTCACAAAGCCCTTGTATAGTGTATAGTACACTAGCATTGTTTAACAGTAGCTTTTACCCTGGCACTGATATAACTACAGCAGAAACTAAACTAATGTTACCACCATGTAAGCACATACACAGTCATAAAAAAGAAACTAAGTGTCCACCCAGACTGCATGGCTAACAGTTTGCAAGTTCCCCTGCCCATACCTGTTTGGTTTCTGTCTGCCTTTTGTAGTAAGAAGTGAGGACGCACAAAGAGTTGATTGGAGACAAACTTCAAACTGACCAGAAGGACTGGGGCATAGCTCAGTGGTAGAATACATGCTTAGCATGCTGGGAGCTGGGTGTTTGATCCTAGCTTTGGTTGTTTGTTTGTTTTGGTTTTGGTTTTGGGGTGGGGTTGGGATATTTGGTTGGTTTTGTCTGATGCTTTAGCTTAGCTGGAAAAATGTTTTGGCATTCAAGCATGAAGACTTGTGTTCTATCCTAGAATCCATGTAACAAAGCTGGGGCATGGCGGTGTACTCTTGTAATCCCATTGCTGGTATAAACAGCTGGCTCCTCAGAACTCACTGGCAAGCCAGCTTAGCTTACTTGGCAAGTTCCACACCAGGGAGAGACCCTGTTTCCAAAACCAAGGTGAA